CTTATATGTAGATATAAACCTGTCCTTTAGACACCTTTTAGAAATAAGGCTTCTAGGTTGGTTATAATTGCGTCTAAAAACTGATAAAAAGTTGATTTTGAGCTGTGAATTATAGTGCCTAAAATGAGTTTAAATTAAGTTTGGTTAAGTTTTTGTTGTCGGATCTTTATGAAACTTTGGGTACATATTACAGGTGTTAAATAAGCTCACTTGGTCCTTTCAGAGTGACCGTTGGACGATGTTTAAATGTATATGGACGTAGAGCCTAAGTTGGCTCGATTTTTGAGTATCGAAAAGCACTGTGAGTTTATGGGGCTACTTAACTTGCTATTTGCTAGACATGTGTTATCTATTTGTTACTTGCTTCCACACTCATCCATGTTATGTCTTCTTATCAATTTCAAGAGATTATTGGCTATTGCACTCCGTCCTTCCGTACATGCTACTCGGTGGTTACTTTGTGTTTCACCCGGGGAGGCACGCTTAATCCCATATTAGCTGAGATTACTCGGGTATGGTGCGTATTTGACCGTGTTAGAGTCCGGTCATTTTCCCTACTGTCCGGGATAGCTCGGGTGGGAAGACCATTCCACTGGCCGGGATAGCTCGGGTGGTATGAAATCTATGATATATATTGTTGTGCTTGCCACGACCGGGATAGCTCGGTGGCAGTACATATCAATTATTGACCTTCACACGATCTAGTTGCATACTTTGATATTCWGATGYATGATTCTCGAATGATGATTACTTATTACATGATTTACATCCTTCGTGATCATTGACTTCCATGGATTACATTTGTGAAGCTTTAGTAATTAGTAGTTCCCGTTTACTCACTAAGCATTATGTGCTTACCCTTTTAGTTGTTCACATTTTTACAGGCCGTATAGATAAGGCAAAGAACAAGCTCGAGTAGAATGAGATCTTTGCTTTTGGTGCTTCCAGTAGCACGACTCTTTTGGTATTATATAGTTAGTCGAATACAACTGTGGATTGTAAATTATTAGTTGTCTTTTAGTTGTAATTAAAGTATCTAGATAACGGGTAGCTAATGTCCTCTGTCTTGTATATAGTTTAAGCTTTATGCAAATCTATTAAGTTTATTTTGTCCGTTTTAGGATATTTTGGAAAACAGGTGCTTACGGAAACGTCCTGTAAACCAAGCGGACATTTCGAATTAGAAACTCGTAAATATTATATCTCATTTTCTTTCTAAAGGTTTAAAAATGTAACTTTTGGTGGTTTGTTTATCATTTATAGAAATAATGTATTACAAACCTTTTATCATTTATGTAATCTGGGTCTTTCATTACAGATCTTCGTTCATTTCTCCCTATTTTCGTGAATAATCTATTTTGTAAATCAATTTCATCTTATTAAATGTGCTTCATTGCAATATTATTTTTGATCAATCTCTTGTGATCATGAGCTTAATTGAATAAGCTTACAATGCAATATTTTTAGGAAGGACTGAGAGCTTAACAAAAGTACCTCTATGGACTATCAGAACTAATAGCCCTACCAAGAGGATAATAATATCTGAGTGAGCTTAAATGCAAAAGAATTGATGAGAGTTGTGACCAGGATTAAGAGAATGAAAGAATTTTGTTTTGTCCAATATAATCCGGGAAAACCACATAATCAATTAGTTTTTAATTCTTTGGAGACTAATATTGACAAAGGCAAAGCCCAGGCCAACTCTTGTTAAAAACCCCACCAGTTACTCATTTATCTAAAAAAAGATTAGTGTTTCGTTAACACTTGGGTCACGCAGCTCATTATCTATCTGTTTTTTATTTGGAGATAACTGATATTGAAGAAGAAGGATATATGTCCCCCCCTCCTTCAAGTCTTTTCTATCACATTTGAGTCTGATAAATTTTGTGTAGTTTACACTGTTTATCTTTTTGAGCTTATATTGAAGCATTCATTGCTTTGTCATTTCTATACTGCACAAGTTTTGTAAAATATATATTATTCTATCATAACATTCATAGATACGCTTTTTAAAACTATCAATGATTGAATGGAAGTCCTTGTGAGATGAACATTAAAAAGTCTCATATATGAAGTACATTCGTTGTACTGAATATATCTGTTATATTCAAAGGTCAATCTTTGTAAAAGATTGAAAACAGGTTCATAAGTTGAATCTGGTTCTTTGCCGAACCTTCGTAATTTGAAATAATTATATAAGAGAATTTGAAAAGAGTTGCTTAACTTTCTCTGAATTGATGGTGTTCATTAAAGATCATTCATTTTGAAGTATGAAGTCAATGCTCCTCATTTTCATGATAAGGGGGAACAAATATTTATGTGTCATTTCTGAAGATTGGGAAGTTGTCAAAGTTTAAAGGAGTGAAGTTAATTATGAAGATAATTGTTGAATAATATTGTGCTGCAATGTTCAAGGGGGGTGTGAATGTGAAGATTATTCTGTTTCTGAAGAAAAGGAGGAAAATAATTAAATTGTTAAAAAAGAGAGTTTATTTAAAGTTCAGGGGGAGATAAAAAATTTCTGAAGGTGATCATTTGGGGGAAATTGTTTGAAGTTTGTTTAAATGCTGGAATTTGTTAAAGTTTGTTGATAAAAAGGGGAGATTGTAAAAGAGAAAGTGTTATAACCAGGTTTTTCTACAAACCTAGGTCAAGTAACCTTATGTGTTCATTATGTGAATTATGTGATAGCATACATAATTATGATAATATTTTCATGGATTATATGTTCATGTGTGGTAAATTGGATATTATGCATACATGTGATAAGAGATTATTATTATTATTATTATTATTATTATTATTATTATTATTATTATTATTATTATTATTATTATTATTATTATTATTATTATTATTAT